CCATATTGTTTACTTTTATAACTTGTGAAATAAATCAATTAAGAAGAAAGTATATAACCAATTTGTTTATTTAGGTCATCAAAATGACACCCAAAACAACAAAAAAGGCCAAGACAACACCTACTACAAAACCTAAAAGATTTATGTATTCTCCATCAAAAGTGCAACAAGCATTAAAGGCTGTACATGATGGAATGAGTGAGAACAAAGCAAGTCAAACGTTTAATGTTCCTAGAACCACATTAAGAAATAAGCTGTCTGGAAAATCACCTGAAGTATCAACTGGTCATAGTGGAACTACATCGGTATTAGGTAATGAAATAGAACAAATGTTGGTTAAATGGCTCTTACATTGTAGTCGAATGGGATTTCCAATAGGTCGTGAAAATCTGTTATGCTCTGTTAAAAAGTTTGTTGATGAATCTAAACACACCATTTTCAAATAATCGTCCAGGGAAAAAATGGTTTTACAGCTTTTTATCTAGACATAAAATTCTATCACAGAAACATTCTGAATATGTAAACCGTGCCAGAGGATCAGTAACTGAAATTAAAATTAAGAACTGGTTCAAAGAAGTTCATGAGATATTGGGTGAAAATGCTTCTATACTGGAAGATCCTAGCAGGGTCTTTAACATGGATGAGACCTGTTTTAACTTAGCTCCTAAGGGTGAATTAATTATTGGAGAGAGAGGTAGAAATGTATATGATGAACATACAAACTCAAATAAAGAAAACGTCACTACACTTTTCGGTACAAATGCCTTAGGAAAATGGGCACCTCCTCTCACAATATTTAAGTATGAAAGGATTCCAGCAGCTCTAGTTAAATCTGCACCATCTGGTTGGGGAATCGGAAAATCTGAGACAGGGTGGATGACCTCAGAAACATTTTTTGAGTATATGGCAAATATGTTTTTACCATTTTTAAATGAAGAAAATATTATTCGGCCAGTTATTGTTTTTTTGGATGGTCACAAGTCACACCTTAGTTTACACTTGAGTAAATTTTGTCGTGAAAATGGTATGATATTAGTTGCATTATATCCTAACTCAACACACATATTGCAACCACTTGATGTTGCTGTATTTGGACCATTAAAATCAAGATGGAAGAAGATAGTTAAACAGTGGCGTATTGAAAAAGAAAAGGAAATATCTAAAATTGATGTACCAACAGCTCTGTCCCAAATCATTTATGACAAAGAAATGACTAGTAATATTAAGTCTGGATTTCGTACAACTGGGATATATCCTTACAATTCAGATAATGTGGATTATTTCAAAATTATCTTAAGAGCTGTATCAGATCATGATACTTTAATTGATCTCAATAATATTAAGTGTCACCTAAGTTATGTAGAAACGAAAATTAAAAAAATTGATATTAATCTATTAGACGAATTTAAAAGAACAAGAAGAGGACAATATGAGTGGGACGGAAATACAAATTCAACAATGTTGTTTACATTGTGGTCAGAAATAATGGATGATGTGAACAACCCTGAGATTGAGATTACTACAGATATAACAACGCCATCATCAAATCAAAATTTAAATCAAGAAATGTGGCTGAATAAACCATCATGTAGCCATGCAGAAGAGAACCTAACAGGAGAAACAGAAACCCCAATCATCCCTAGTGAGCATACAACTCCAGAGTCAACAATTGTAGTTCCCGCAAAACGGTCTTTAAATAGTATATTTAATGATATTATAAAGTGGCCAGTACAACCAATATCTAAAACAAGTAGAAAAAAAGAGTATACGCCTAGTGTAATAACATCGGACAAATGGGTTGAATTCCACGAAACTAAATTAAATGAAAAACAGGAAAAAGAGAGAAAAAAAGAAGAAAAAAAACTAGTGGCATTTGAAAAAAAAAAAGAATTAGAAAAAAAGAAAATAGAAAAGGCACAAATTAAAGCTAGCAAAAATATAAAACAGAAAATTGTTAGTGATACTGAAAGCTCTGAATCGGAAAAAAGTTGGAATTCAAAAATGGATGTTAGTTTTGATGAAGAATCTTTAGCTCAACCTTTAAGTTCAAATCAGATTATACCAATTTCAAATGAACAACCAAATTTAAATACTGGTGATTATATTTTAATAGAATTTGAATCAGTTGGAAAAAGGAAGCTTAAATATAAATATGTTGCCACTATAGTAAATGTAATTAGTCAAAATGAATTTGAAGTGCAATGTTTTGAAGCAAACGATGAGGAAAACACTGAATTTGTACCTATTGAAAATGATGTATCAATAGTTGACTTAACCAACATATTGTACAAACTACCATCTCCGGATCTTCGTTTGCAAAATAGACACCTTATTTCAGTGTTTCCAGGTGTAGTTGATGTGTTTGAAAAATGTAAATATTAAGACTGAGTATGTATTCCTACATGGCTACATTCAACCTATAACCAAATATCAACAAATGTGATTTACTTATTACCTATTTTATTATTACAAGGAAGTTATCTATATTAATTTTTATTACAATGTTACATTAAGTTTTTGTTATTTTTATTTTGCCTAACTATAGGTTTTGTTATATGTCCTAAGCAGGAATCACTTTTATTTAAAAAACTGTTATTATTATTATTATTATTAGTATTATTTGTTTTTCCTTTTTTAAGAATTGTATTTTGTTAAATAAGTTGTTGTTTATTGGTATCTACCTATATTATTTTATTGTTAAACTTTAAATTATTATAATAAACAGTTTGTGTTCCTCTCATATTTTTATTTATTTAATATTTTACTAATAAATATTATTATTTACTACATTTGTAACTTAAAAGTATTTTTTTGTAATAAATAAATTTAAAAATATTTTATGGCCATAAGTGGGGAAAATGGCTGGCCATAGTTAGTGTTGACCTAGCCATAGAAGGAGAAAATGACAAATTAAAAATTAAATAAAAAATTCTCCCAAAATATAACCCACAGAGACTTGAAACTTTAACCAAGTATAAGTCATATTATAAAGTATACTTGGTTTGAATTGTGGGATTATTCCATGATCATAAATAGAGCTATTACAATATGCTCACAAAAAAACGCTTAACGTGGCCATAGGTGGCGACTCCACCCTGTTTTATTTTTTTTCTGTCACTTATCAAACTTACTTATTATACAAAAAAATTATATATATAGATTGTAGATTTCTTCAATAAATAAAAAAAAAAAATGTGGGAATCGTACAATTCGGGCTCAATACCACTCGATATGAAATATTCGGCCAGACGAGTCTCGAGATCAGACTCCGCACCGCCGATAGGTAGTTCGCGCTGTTCACACTCATAACGCAGCTCGGTGATCGTCAACTTATTTAAAAATTTTTCCGACATGTCCAAAAAAAAATTTGAAGTCGGTGTGGGAAAACACAAAAAAAAATAATTTGACGCGTCTTCCGTAGCGATACGGTGTGTCCGGCGATGGGTCGACTCTACTGTCGGTTAATCAATACGGTATGAAATGTTTGTATGTAATATGAATTGTGTATGTATATGTGTTTGAGAAAAATAAATAAATGTAAACACGTCGTGTTTGTAAACACACGATATTACGTTCCGCGTATCAATTCCGGCACGGCGGCAGTGATTATGATAGCCACTTTTCCATCGGCGCGGGTTTCTCTACAACGGTACGGGTGCGTTATCGGCGGCACGTGTCTAATGTATCGTGGTCCGGAGACTCGTCCGTATCGTGGTTCCGAAGTCATTTCGCGGACCGGTAATTAGTTGATGGTGGCGCGATTATGGCGGCACGGTGTGTGTTATTTCGGTAAAGATACGTTCGATATGCCGCGATTCACGCGTGCAGGCCGGCGGGTCGCGGTGTATTTGGGGACGTTAATTTTAATCGTACTTCCTAATATTACTGCGTATGTCACGACTGGTTTTTCGCGCTCGCGTGTTGCGATATCTCCGCTGCTTGTTGGGGACTCGGCGCGTGTCAGCGATATAGACGAATATAGCGTCCGGGTTTTTCCCTACCTCGCTATACCTCGTGATATTTTTCTATTTTTACGTAAAGAAAATGAAGCAAAGCGGGATTTACAAGCTAGCGAAAAGTATCTTACCTTGCCTTGTCATGTTATTGACCAGAAGGAATTTCTCTGCGGGGAGCCAATTTTGTCGTGATCCGGAATGTCACGGCACAACGCACGATAGAATAGTTATAATGATATATATAAAAATAAAAAATAAAACACAGCGGCAAAAGGTGGTAATGACTGGTGGGCCTTATATTATTTTATACGAACACTAGTTGAGAATAATAATAATAATGATGACAATATCTCAAAGTGAAATATAATGAAAACGAAAAAATGTTAGGAAAAACTATGTCGCAAAAAAAAATGTATCGGTCGCATACATCCACTCGTGGGCACAGTGTTCACAGAACAACCCGAACGGACCAGTTGGATAGTATTTCGTGCGGGCGTCGTCGCGACCGTTCGCGTCCCCTGTTCATTAATTGATGAGGGGACGGGGTGTCGCGGCGGCGTTGCGTGCCGCGGTCTGGTGGCTGATGAGAGAGACATAAGCCTCGATTACATAGAGCGATTTTACACGCTGTGTGTCGGCGATTAAAGTCGCGCGCGTGTGAGCGTGTAGCTACTTGTCCGATTACATTGAGCGATTAAATTCGCTCTTTCGCTAGTCGCGTACACCCATTCATGTGATATACATGTAACAAGAAGTTGTCATTGATATAGATAATTCATTCGTTTTCGTTTATATTTTAAATTGTATTATTTATTAATTATTTATTATTATTTATTTAACTGGTCCCCATTCATCCTTAGAATATTTCGGTAGGCTGCAGAATTTTCGTGTTTTAGTTCTTTTAATAATGTATTGGATGCACCATATTTCTCCGACCTTGAACTACAACTTCTGATCTATAATCTTTTCTTTTTATACTTTTTCTTTCCCAACTCCTATCGCAATGAATGAGAAATCACAATAACTCCCGCGCAAACTACAGCTTCCGACATTTTGACCAGTCACTACTCGCTGGCATACTAGCGATTTTGCCAGCTAGGGCGATTACATTGAACGATTTTACTCGCTGAAGTGTAAAAACGCCAGCGACTTGCGACTAAAGTAGCCCGGCCGTCAACTTAAATCGCGAGCGAGCAGCGAGTATTCAACACGCGGCGAGTAAGCGACTAGACCGATTACATTGAGCGACTTTAGTCGCAGCGAGTTAATTCGCCAGCGACTAGCGAGTAAATTCGCTAAATGTAATCGACCTTATAGGCACGGTCGGCGACAGACTATACCGTGTGTCCCAAAAAAGCAGGGGCCACTACCACTTATTACTATGTAAATATTTTTCAATTCTGTTTGCGGGACATTAAACTAGACTCAAGGATCGTAAATTTCTATGACTTACAATGTTTTTAACTCATGTAATCTTGCGCATGCGCAATAAAACTTACATTTTTTTAAATAGCAACCCATAATTTGAATATCATATTCGGGTTCATCAATTTTTTTCAAGCCATTTTGATGAATAAACTAGTGTCCTAAACCCAAAATTGACTAAACTAGAGCTAAGTAGAATTTAAGAAATTAAAAAATTTAATTTAATTTATTTTTTTTTCTAACTGTGCGTACTTTTTTTCTTCTTAACACCACGAAACAAACAATCAAAATTATTATTATTAAACTAATTAACTATTTACTATACTATTTATGAATTATTATCTTATTTTATTATTACACATTATGAAATAACATAGTTTAATCATATTTAACATTGTTTCAAGAAACAAAATTTCTATTTTATTTTTTTTAACATTACTATACATTTTTATTTACAATTTAATTTACAGAAATTACAAACATAAACTATTCAATAAAGTGTTCGAAAGTCCCTCCGTCGTGTAAAATGCATGCCTCAAATCGACGTAAACATTCCCGAGTAGTTGCTGCCAGTATTTGGTTTTCGTTTAGGAAGTAACATGCAGTGCCGTGCCTAGCATAATCAGCGCCCGGGGCGAAGAATAATTTCTAGCATCCCCACCTCCTCTACCAAATATTTTTATACTTGTAAAAACATTAGGAAAGAGCCGGAGATAGAATCGTCAGATTTACCTTATTTTTCACATTAAACATTTTTGTCGACATGTAAATTGTACAAATACATCTCAAGATGATATGTAAACAAGGAGAGAGCCTTTTTTGAATATATTTTGTGAATAATATTGACAATTGCAATAGTATTAATAATTATTATACATTTTATTTGAACTCAGAAATTAACCAAATCTGTATAATATATAATATAATAGTTATAACTTATAAGTATGAAATAGTATAAACATGTTATTAAAATAGGTGATAATGTTTGAAGTAAACAGTATTTAAGTTAATATGTTAATCAAAATAAAAAATCGCATCACTGAGTTAATTATTTTTATTTAGGTTACAAGTATTAAAAATGTATATTATCTTAATTCTTAATTTAATATTACTAAACTTTTGAATGGATTTATAGTAAATAGTCTTAATAAAATACTATAACAGTTAAGTTTTTAAAATATAATAAGTACTTGACTAGATTTTCATAAACTTATTTTTCGAGATTTGATCGATGTGAAATTTTCAATAATATCATCAAAATTGATAGTTTATGTTATTTTATTTTCTATTGACAGTATAGCAAGATTCGATAATCTTTCTTGAGCCATGGTTGAACGGAGATATGTTTTAATTAATTTAAGTTTACTGAATGATCTTTCCCCAGATGCAACAGTTACAGGAAAAGTAAGTAATAGTCTGTAAGCGATAACTAAATTTGGATACACTGAGCTTAGTTCATATGTTATTATGCCATTTAATATGTCTAAATAAGTTGCCATTTTTAAATTAGGTATAATCGCTTCTCCTTGATACTTAAAACATTCAATTTCATTCATTAATTCACTATTCAGGTCTGAACTATATTTTAAAACTAAATCAGCAGCGTGTTTTTTAAGATCTTCAATCGACAACGTATTAAGATGGAACCCAGAAAGAAATTCAAAATCGTTAGCAATGTTCGACAATGCTTCAAAACGCCAAGATATTTGTGAAATTAAAGTGTCCATAACTTGGTTGTACTCCAATTTAAGTTCCTGTTGTATAGTAAATGTTGAATCAGATGCTTGTTCACCATTCATTTTCTTAATTTTTTTTGGCCTTTTAGATTTAAATATTGTTGAAATTTCAGCTTCATTACATACATTATTTGCTAAAATATTAATATTTTCTGATCCCTCATTTCGCATTTCTTCCAAAGCATTTTTTTAAGCCCATCACAATTTTTGATGCATTAGAAATAGAAATATTTGATTTTTGCAAGGTAATATTAACTCTATATACTTGATTTAAAATTGAGTCCCACATAACCAAAAGATAAACAAACTCAACATTAATTAAACCAAGTAGACTTTGAGCACCTGAGACTCCATCCCCAAATTCCGAATTTTCAGATATGTGTTGTAATGCTTGTATAACATAT